TTTTAATTCGCTTAGTGGGGGGGAGTCCAACTGGGTCCACTCGGCACGACGGCCACTGATTGGCCTATTGTAGCCTGCCCCGGGTGATTATGATGATGGAGAATTTGGTGGAATGAAGATTGGCAGAGGAAACCGAAGTACTCGGAGAAAGCTTGCCCCAGTGCCACTTTGTCCACCACAAGTCCCACTTGACGAGACCCGGGATCGAACCCGGGCTGCCGCGGTGGAAAACCAGCAACTAACCGCTTGAGCTATGGCGCGGCCCAATTTTCACCTTACTGGGTCTCAGTTCATGATTTTAATTATTTTTAAATCAGGTTACAACCATAAACTTAATGAATTACACATTAAAAATTTAACATATACGTACTTCGCGACGACATATTCATATAATTTGGTTTATATTGACCATTAGAAATAGTTTAACCTGTTAGGAGAACTGCTTAGTTAGGTTGGGGCGAGCAAAAATTCCTTCTGGGAATCTAATCTGGGCTTCATTCTGTGACGTCAATACGTCATAAAAGGTCACTTTAACGTGGACATATGCAACTACAGATGGACGTGTCTGTATCACTATAGCCTACACTAGTCCTTAAACAGTTAAGATACAAGAGACAAAAACAGAGCCATGATAGAAACGAGTTATCTTGTTGAAGCCTTCTACTCGCCTGAAAAGAATTTATTTAGAAAGCAGGCTAACAGTGAGCACTTCTGAGGAATGTGCATAGCCTGTTTTTCTTTTCGCTGTAACAATGGAAGAACATTGACACAAATATTGCTTCTAAACATACTGGAATACAAAATTGTTTCTGTTTGCACTGACTATGATGAGCTAATCAGTGCCTGAGGGAGACTGGCTTTGAATGTCTCGTATATTTATTTAAGTACAAACTTACACAAATATCTGTAATCACTACACGGCACGCGGATTAGTATAATGTTTATATCTCTATTAAGAACGTATACTATGTTACAAAAAATGTTTGATCTAAACACCATTTCCATATAATAATCAAGCATATACAGACGTTCGAATCTGCTTTGTCTTCAGCTGATTACAGTTGAATGGCCATCACAGCTGTATCCTTTGCGGTACGCTTTTCGTACTGATGAGGTCGAGAGCATAGGAGGGAGGGCTGCTGTAAATAGAACACGAAACAAGGCATACAAAAAAAAAATAAATTAAACTTTAATGGTCAGGATTTCAGGTTCTCACTACGGTCACTGATTTCTGACACCGTGCACACTGGCAGAAGTTTACCGACGTCTAAGAAGAATGTATGCCTCCATCTTCAGGTTGAAGAGTAAGTCAAGCAGGCAGCAAGCAGAGGCTTTCTTGGCTTTTTTTAATTCGCTTAGTGGGGGGGTGGATTCCAACTGGGTCCACTCGGCACGGCGGTCACTAATTGGCCTATTTTAGGCTGCCCCACTTGATTATGATGATGGAGAATTTGGTGGAATGAAGATTGACAGGGGAAACCGAAGTACTCGGAGAAAACCCGTCCCAGCGCCACTCTGTCCACCACAAATCCCACTTGACCAGACTCGGGATCGAACACGGGCCGCAGCGGTGGGAAGCCAGCGACTAACCGCTTGAGCTATGGAGCGGCCACGCTTTCTTGGCTTACTCTTCGATGCTGAAGATGGAGGCAGTACGTTCCGTCTGAACGTCAGTAAACGCCTATCAGACTACACGGTATCACATCCTAGTAGATAGTACTCTTCAAACGTTAATAGTCTTCCTTAGCTATTAAGTAAACTATGATAGCTAAGTAACTATGGCTATGAAGTTTGATTCCCGAAAAAGTCTGCGTCTTTTCTCTTTGCAAGTACACCTGGATACCGGACCAGTCAGGCAAGGAGCTATGAAGTGTGCAATAGGCCCCATCATAACCGCTTTTAAAGAGTTGAAAAAGCAATGGGACTGCAGCCAAAATTAAGTAAGTTAAGCCAGCATGTTTTTTCTGGCCTAGTCCGGGAACTTTAGCACAGGCACAACCGGCAACTGCCGGGGGCAGGTGCAGGAAGTGGCAAGGCGCAGGCAAGAGCGGCAGCGGTCGCGAAATGACAACTTTTGTTACCCCAGAGTTATCTCACACTAACTTCGCTGACTTCTGGCATGAATCACGGAACAGATTTTATCCAGAAGCTTCTATTTGACAGACATTAAAATTTTTACATGCTGGTAAGTGTATTATGTTATTACAGTAACACGATTGTCCTGCTTCTCCACGCTTCCCTTGGCGGTACGTGCCTGTCCAACAATCTAGGGCCAGCTTCAAAATAAAAAATGGGTGGGATATGAACAGGAGATGCAGTCTCTGCAGATCTGGGTGCTTACATTTCGTACACAACGTTACCGCTACCTTGACATACACTTTAACACAGTACATAGAATACTGTACTTACTAAGATACAAATAAATCATACCACAAGCAGTACATTATGTTTTCAAATACACATTAAGAAATTACGAGGGATATCCGGAAAGTAAAGATACAAGTTCAGTAAAAATGCAAGGGCTCTTTTCTTCAGAAATGGCAGTGTTGGCGCGTGAGATAGGAACCGCATGGCAGGGCTAAGTTCCCTGGCCACACTCACGGCAACGTTGTGCTCGCAATGTCCGTTTAAAATGGCCGTGCTGATTCAAAATCCCACCAAATGTGCGGTTCGCGCAGAAAATCGAATTCTTCACGCGGAAGAAGAAACTGCTGCTGAAATTCATTGCCAACTTGTTTCTGATTACGGCGAAGATGTTATGAACAAGCATATGAACGTGCTGATAGACGTTTAACGATCGATGAACATGAACAGTGTCCAAAAGTGTCAAGAACTGTTCTCCATGTCTAAGAGAGCGGTTGGGAGATTTCTATGGCCCTGGAATAAAAAAAAAACTCGTTCCCAGGCTCACTACGTGCATTGCGATCCATGGTGACTGTGTTGAAGTAAACAAAGGTGTGTTGTAAAAGTGCTACAAGCGAATCCCCCCCCCCAAAAAATGCTGTACAAATAGTTTCTGGATTTTGTATCTTTACTTTCCGGATATACTTCGTATATGTATATATATATATTATATGCTTAATGAGATATATAAATAAACAGATGAAATGTCAATAAATATGTGTACCCCTGACTTACAGCATATCCATATGAACTCTCCATAAAATTATCCAAAGAAAGTATCAAAAGTGATCACA